GCAGTCTGCAAAACACTTCCTCTTAAGGAAGTCGCCAGCTGAAGAGTTTACGACTGCCCTGTCCGGTGAGAGGTACCCACAGTCCTCTGTACATGTGGTGCCACTCGGGAAATCAGCACATCAGCTTCTCCTACCATGATACACCTAAAATAAAAGGGCATCTTGGCAAAAATCCCTTATGATGTGAAAGCATGCCAACTTAACACCATTGACATATGCGACATATGACGTGAAACTTGACGAATGTGGAAGATTTTGCAAGGAGCTCTGGACAAACCTGTATTTCAGATCCTATCTTTCTTTTAAAAACAGATTCGCATAGACCAGTTAGGAGTATAAATTGAGTTCCTAAAGGCCAAAAGACATGTTTTGTATGAGCTAAGATGGATCTTTTATGTGAAGGATACTGCAAATAAGCTTTCAAAAGACAAAACAGTCTTACAGACTTTTGGAACTAGCCTTTCAGAAAGGAATGAGCAGAGTTGGGCCTTTAGAATATTAATGCCTTTCAAATATCAACTTCTAAACTTGGATTTTTCAGAGTCATAAGCTCCATCCTTAGTTCCAATGCCTTTCTAAGAACCATACATATTTGGGTCGAGTTTCCACTTTCATCATCTAACGTGATTTTAATACCAGGCAGGTATATTGAGAAAAAGTGTTCTCCACCAGATGATAGGAGGGACAGTATCAACCAGACCTGCATGTATCTTAAGGAAGTCACACCCTTGCTTAGTCTCCTGATCCGTTTTACAACATGGAAACAAACTTTTGTTTGGCCATAACCCCCACAACAGGCACTTTACAAATGCATTATCGATTTGTTTGTTGGTGGTGGTCACTAGGTCGTGTCCAATTCTTTTGCAATCCTATGGACTGTAGCCCACCAGTCTCCTCTGTCCTTGGGATTTTCCTACTGGAAGGGGTTGCCATTTCCTCCTCCAGGAAATCCCGACCCAGGGATTCAACCTGCATGTCCACTGCCTACTGGATGGCAGGTGGATTGTTTACTGCTAAGCTCTACTCTGCAGAAACCCTGAGAGCCTACAATTTCAGAAATATTCTCATAGATACAAGTCTGCCTTAATATGGCGTTGAAGTCTGTCAGCACATGAAAAGACGCTCAACATCATTAGCCATCACAAGACAAGCATATCAATCCACAGTGAGATACTAGTTCACACCCTAGGCTAGTTATCATTAAACAGTATTATTACGAATGTGGAGAAGTAATAATCCTCATACTCTGCTAGTAACAATGTTAGGACAGTACAGCTGCTTTTGAAAATAGTCCAGCAGTTTCTTAAAAAGGTGAATTACATATGACCCAGCAATGCCACTCCTAGGTATACATGTATATGTATATACATACCCAAGAGAATATATGTCCACATAAAAACTTGTATGCAAACATTCATAGCAGCTTTATTCACAATAGCTGGAAAGCGCCAACAGCTCAAGTGTCCAACTGATGAATGGATAAACAAAATGTAGTATAAGGCAATACCACTTAAGAAATAAAAAATATGAAGTACCATTGATGAACCTTAAACACATGATGTTGGGCTTCCCAGCTAATGCAGTGGTAGAGAATCCACCTGCCAATGCAGGAGATGCAAGAGATGCAGGTTCTACCCCTGGGTTGGGAAGATCCCCTGGAAGAGGAAATGGCAACCCATTCCAGTATTCTTGCCTGAAGTATTCCATAGACAGAGGAGCCTGACAGGCTACAGTCCATGGGGTCGCAGAGTCGAACACAACTGAACAGTTTATAAATTAAATGACATAAAGTCAGACACAAAAGGGCACATACTAAATGATACCAATGAAATGTCCAGAATAGACAAATCTATAGACAGTTGGGTCTGCTAGGACTGTCACTGGAATGGGAAGTGACTGCTAATGGGCAGAGTTTCTTTTTAGGGTAATGAAAATGTTCCGGAATAATGGTGATGGTTGCATAACCTTGTGAATATACTAAGTACCACTGAACTGCACACTTTAAAATGGTGAATTTTATTTAAAGAAAAAATTACATTGAAAAGGGATGATTAAAATCCCTTTCAGACAGCCAAACTAAAACTTGTCATAGTTAACAGGATGGCCACACATTATGTTACCTAAGAAAATGGGGACTTCGCTTTGTACTATCATTGCTTTGTATGTATTAACACATTTAACTCTTTAAAAACTGAGGTAGTTCCATTATTTGACTCCAATCTAAGAAATGGAAGCACTTAGCAATCACCATGTCTTCATTTTCCTCACCTCAAGCCCTAGCAGTGCCTGGCAATGACAGTCAATTAAAACTTATTTCTCATCTGTTTATCAAGTATTTGTACTTCTACAGTGTACTAGGCACTGGGAACACAGTCACAAGCAAGACCAAGTTCCTAGAGACCAAAAATACATCATTTCAGGTTGTAATCATCACTACAGATGAAAAAAGAGGAGTTAGGGAAGCCTGTCTGAAGAAAACCTAGTAAAGAAACAGGTCAGATTGGGCAGTGAAAACAAAGGACCCTAGAGAACACTTTGATTAAAGCAGAGCAAGGAGGTAGATATGGCTTGAGCAGACTGAGGGGAGATGAAGATGCCCAAGCAGGTGCTGCTGGGTCTTGCGGGCCAGAGTAAGAAATTTGGATTTTACTGAGGGTTTTGAGCAGTACTATGATCTGACAAGAAGACTCCCTGGTAGCTCTGACAGTAAAGAATCCACCTGCCAATACAGGAGACCTGGGATGGAAAGATGCCTGGAGAAGTAAATGGCAACCCACTTCAGATTCTTGCCTGAAAAAATCCAGAGCAGCTGGGCAGGCGACAGTCCATGGGGTCGCAGAGAGTCAGACACGACTTGGCGACTAAACTACCACCATGATCTGACAGGCTACTGGGAACAGGATGGCCTTGTGTGCGTGAGTACTGGAGGGTGGACAACGCTGCCACTGACGGTATCAACTCAATTTTGAGCGAATGTGACAGGTACCAAATGAGACTGAGACAAGATCAGAGGACATGTTCAATTTGGTATGCCTTTTACACACCCAAATGAACCTATCAACTAGGTAGCTGGATAGAGGTCTAGGTCAAGGGGAAGTTTAACTGGAAAATTTGACACATGAACAAAAAGATATTTAAATGTTCCATCTAGAAGGTAGTGTTTCAGCAAAGGAGTGAATAAGTCAAAGTCTGCCAACAGGGCTGGTAAAAGATGGAAATTGATCGTTCATTTTGGCAAAATGAAGGCTGCTGCTCACCTTAACAAGTTCAGTCAAGTGGAGGAATGAAAGCCTACTGAATAAATGGAACAAGTGAATAAATGGACTGAATGGGTGAATGGCTAGACAGATAGAAGTACCCCCAGTGATGTTCATTGGTTTGTTCATATTGGAAAGGGTAAGTCAGGAGCAACCACCTTAGAAACTGGATATTCCGTACATTTCCAACATTACTGAATTATAAAATCAAAAGAAGTCACATGGAAGATCCCTGAAAGCTCTGTATTCTCGCCCCATACACACAGAAGATGTGAATACTAGTTTTACCTTATATAGTGTTATCACCTTCTAAGTTCTCTCAAATTATATTACTCTCCTCAATCTTAAGATTCAAAAATGGTCTGTAGGGAGCCAACCACCTTACCCCCACCCACACCATACACCACCCATACCACTCCCCCCCCCCAACACACACAAGTGCACGCACACACCTCTGATACAGGGAGACAGCTCCAATCATTTTTTAGCCTTCATTCACTTCCTAGAATGTGCCAGACTCCTTCTGCCTTGGGGTATACACATACTGTGTGCTCTGCCTGAAACTCTTCTCTTCCCCTATGCCTGGCTGACCTGCCCATTATATATGTTCCAATCTCACTGTGCACTTCCTTCTCATGGCACTTATCACATTAATTACTAACATAAAGATGCCAGGACAATTTTGTCGCCTTGCATTTCCCTCGCCCAATCCTCCCTCTGCCAGAGTTGCCAAGAGGGTAAAATATAGACACTGTGAGATTTCTAAGGTTGGTTTCCTGCAGTATTCAGATAGGTAATAAAAGTGAGTGGCCAACATTGTTAAATTTAGAAATTTATTCTGTTTAATCCACAAGCTTTATATAGCTTTAGTTAAAAAAAAAAAAAAAAGAAACAAAAACGAAACAAAAACAGTGAAAACAAGACACTATTTCAAAGTCTGGGCCCTTCCAGCTTTCCAAATACAAGAGCTCTGAAAGTTGTATATACCGACTGGAACAAGACAAAATTATGAATGGAGCCATGACATTTCATAAAACAAAATTTTATGTAACTGAAGGATCCTTCCTGGGGCTAGTTAATTGCCTTTACAAAAAAAGAGAAAAGAATGAAATTCCAGTGTTCCAAATCAACTTGTTACACATCTATATAAACCCACAGTGTCCTGGCAAACAACATGCTTTCATTTTCTGTCTCATCTTAGAGCTCGAATCCTGATTCATTTCAGCAGAGACTCCACAGGCAACAGGAAAGATTGTGGCATTAAAATATTCATTTATACTTTTGTGGTAGTTCAACAGTGGTCTTATTTCTGGGCAAGCTTGCAAACCATCAAGGTTGAAAGCATCATAACTTAAATGGGTGCTAAGACTCAAATGAGAAAAATGAAAAAGGAAAGAAAAAGTAGAAAGAGAAACCTCTGGGAATAGCCAGGGGTATTTAAAGGAACCATAAGAATGCCAACGATATTTAAACCCCCTTTTTTAAAAAGGGGATTTTTCTTTTTTGGCTTAAAATATTTCAGTCTAAACGAATTTATGTCAGCTGTCAATGAAAGAATGTCACTAATACACTGTGGACACCTTTTGCAATGTAAATCCATGCCCTTTTTTTTAACATGGTGAACTTCAACCTAGCAATTATTACAACAAATGTTATAGTCTAAAGCTCAAACACATTTTAGCAATTTTGAAATTGAATTGCGTACAAACCAAATAAAATTTACATCATAACAAACATTTCCATCTAGGACTGTGGGGACACTTGAGCCTTCCGCATTGATCTCAGGGCCTTTTCACGCAGGTGCTTTTCTAAGTCATCAAGGTTATCTTCAGCCTCACTTTCAGTCTCCTAAAAGAAAAAAAAAAAAAACCAGAAAGGTCATATTATTAAATCTTGAGACAATGGTTGGCAATGTTGAGTCTATCTGTGGTGATGGCAGCACAACTATGAATATACTAAAAACCACAAAATCACTATACTTTAAATGGGTGAATTAAGTTTAATAATATCAAAGTTCTTTTTAAAAACATAAACTTTTTGGACGTTATTCATATTCTCATCTTTAGCCTTAGCAAATCCTGCTCTTGGTAGGTGGTCCTAGAGACACCAATCAGAAGACAGCTAACATGGGGCATCTAATTATTAGAAGCCTCCTCAGCTGCTTCTGCAAGCCAAGCGACTTCACTGTTTGCACAGACTTCAGGGCAGGGCCCACAGGCACCTTCTTAGGCTCTGGCTCTGGCTCTGGCTCCTCCTGTGCTGAGGTGGTTGTGGGGGCAGCCACAGCTGCAGGGGTTACGGCAGCTGCAGCCGCGGCAGCTACGGCCTTCTCCTTCTTGTGTTTTTTGTGCTTCTTGTGCTTCTTATCCTTTTTGTGTTTCTTGTCCTTCTTTTTCTTCTTTTTCTTTCCACCTCCTTCTGGGTCTGAATTCTAGAAATCCAGAAAAACAAAAACCAATAAAGTCAACCTGTCCAATGAAACATTTTATTTCAAGGGAATAACCAGTTGGATTAATCTCAGGATTTCATACAGCTTCAGGAGGAAGACGGTCCAAGGCCAGTCACCACCAAGAAAAGTACTCCTGAAGATGGGAGTAAAGACTTCCAAGAGCTGAAATGGACCTGAAGGTAAATGATTTAAATTTCCCCAACTGACTTTGGGCTTTCCCGGTGGCTCAGAGGTGAAGAATCTGCCTGCATGCAGATGTGGGTTCCATCCTTACGTCAGGAAGATCCCCTGGAGGAGGGCATGGCAACCCACTCCAGTATTCTGGGAAATCCCATTGACAGAAGAGCCTGGTGAGCTACGGTCCACATGGCAGCAACAGGTCAGACATGACTGAAACTACTGAGCACGCACACACCTAACTTCACACTAAACCAGGCCTCCCAGTCGCAGACTATGAATCAGGTCTCCAAGAATGGCCTGAGTCTAGGTCTACTTCTAGATGCAAGGAAAAGCACCATGATGAATAGGAAGAAAAGTCTCTGAACTCACCCCAATTGAATTCTGATTCCTGAACCTACTGGTCAACCTCACACAAATTGCTTGACTTGTTATGAGGCCTTTTTATTAACTCCAATTGGGTATAACAATCCCTAATAAAGCTGTTTACGAGAATTAAATGGGAATATCTGTAAATCACCCATCATACCAGCCTAAATAATAAAAAACTATTACCCTAATTATAAGTGTGTGTGATTGCCACATCTCTAGTCACTGATCTCTAGAATGCAGGGTTATTTATTCTCCACTGCATACATTCCAAATTTAAGCCAAGGGTAGGCTCTGCTATAAATGAGTCTAGTCTGTAATGTAATTTTTCAATCTCACATTTCTAAGCAATTACTTAAAATTCCTCATCATTCAATTAGTCTGCACAATAACACAACCCTATTAAGATGGACAACTAACTACTGATGTTTTTTATACAATATAAGAATCTGCCCGATTAATGAATCACCAAGGAAAACAGTTTAAGCTCTGATATTTTACTATCCCAATGATATGTAAGCTTGAAGATGTAAAAACAAGAATGTTATTTTTATTCATGTAGCCTGCCAACGATAAGACTACCTGGGTCAGTAATGTGCTTTCTATTCCATCTAATATTTCACATGTTTCAAGATTCATTTGTTATTATAGAAATAATGTATTTCCACTATAGGAAAAATTAAGAGCATTAAAACATAAAGGAGAAAAAGATCACTCATTATTCTCCTCCAAAACCACTGGTGACATTTTGATATCTTGTGATACTTTTTTTTTTTTAAATAAAATGTAATCATACTAACAGACGTGATCCAAGATCAAAACTTTTCATTGCCTGTGTAATCGTAACCAGCCCCAAACCTGTCAAATACTAGAGAAAACAGAAACACTAATTTCCTCCTAGATAATTAGGACTTAGGAGATAATTCCTCCTAGACAATTATCTCCTAGATAATATTAGAATCAAGGTTTTTATTTTTTTTTCCTGCTTTTCTAAGTTATCTATATAGCCCAGCCTTCACCACCAAGATTATAGAAATTAATACTATAAGACACTGGAAATTAGTGGATATCTAGAATATTAAGCATGCACAGTGATGCAAACACCACCACTTAATATGCGCCTCCTTTTGAAGTCCACCTGAATCAAAAAATTATGCTCCTCTGAACTACTGAAGACAAAAACCCCTCTCATTGCAAGTAACCATGTACACTTATAAAGGATGTCCACAACAGGGCAGACATACCCTTGCCGGTGATGGGCTTGGTGTTGGGCTTTTAGCCTTTTTAACCGGTACCGCTGGTGACCAGTTGGTGGAGGGTGACTGAGACTGGACAGGTGACGGAGGTGCTGGGGGCTTTTTAGCTGCTGGCTCAGGAGATCCCGAGACAGATCGGGAAGATGAGACCCTCCTTACCGACTGAGGGCTTGGTGAGGCAGCTCTAGAAACAGAAGGAAAAAATAAAACATTTAGCCTTCAAAACAGAGATCCTGCTTTAAGAGAAAACAACCAACTACCATTACACAACCTAATCACCAACTTTAAATATTTTACAGCACTTAGCTTGCTGGCTGGCTGTTATTGACACAATTTTTATCATCTAAGTCTCCTGGAGAGTAGTTCCAAGTCCCACTATCCTCGACCCATTCTGTTAATGGTTCTTCCTGTAGGAAATTAGTAATGCCAGTTGCCATATTTAACACTGCTTTTATCAGTCTTTCCGACATGCAAGAAACATTCTATACATCACTTCAGAGCTGGGTTTGGAAGCACACTTCTGAATTAATCTGATATCCTTAAGAACCAAATAAAATCCTCATTTAGCTTATACCACAAGGAACTATCCTGAAAACAGAAAAGGATATATGAACAGGACCAAGAATTTGCCTTAAAATTTGTATTCACAGCTGTTCTTTCCTGTGATTTCTCAGTGTTGGGGGGGGGGGGAGTTTTCAAACATAAAGAGCTATGCAAGGTAAGTGTTCCTAACCAAAAAGGATAAAATATTTTTACTTTTTTATCTTTTTGGGTTCCGGAGTCCTGGAGACTCTCCTAATGGGCCTAGAACTTGGAGATGGGGACTGCCTTCTTTGGGGTGACGATGATGCTCCTCTTCGAACAGGTGGAGGACTTGAGGTCTGAGGAGCGCGAGGCCGTGGTGAGGGCGAATGCCGTTTGTTTGGCTGTGGTGACCGGGCCTCCCGGGCAGATCGGCTCGGGGAAGACCCTTTCCTATGCTTTGATGACAGTGAAGGCGAACGTCTCTTGGTGACTGGGGAGCTTCTTTGTTTGGGAGGTGGTGAATGGGAGACCCGACGCTTTGGTGGTGGAGATGGTGATGCCCTTCGTTTAGGAGGGGGAGGGGGTGAAGCCGTTCTTCTCTTCGGAGGTGGAGAAGGAGAGTATCTCCTCTGTATTGGAGGAGAGTATCTTCTTGGGGAAGGTGAGCGACGACGTGGAGGAGGAGACGGAGTCCTAGGAAAAATACATCATGAAAGCTTAAAGGTCCAACAGACTAGAAACAGAATACAAAGAAAATTATGCACTTACAACACCAGACAAAGAGAATATTTCTAAGTGGAAATGCCATGCCTTTATCTTTAAGTTTAAAAAGAAAATCACTTAGCAAATTACTGTGTATCCTAGATGATTACAAATAGGACATTCTGGTTCATGGAGATTTAGTGTTCAGATTAAATTCAAATTTGTCAAGTCATTCAGTAAAATCCATGTAGAATCAGTTTAATATCTTTTCAGAAAAGAATCTTGCATTGCTCTGAAGAAAACTGAAAATCCATTACTACTATGTAGTAACTAGATAACTATTAATAAGATTCTATTGACTGTGTTCAACTTGAACTCAGGAAGTCTGTGCTTTAAAGAGCTCTCCTATGGGGAACACTCTCTACACTGGTGTCTGGACTCTATTAGTAAAGAGTGCTCACTTGCACAAGGTTTAAAAGACATCACCCCGCCCTCATTGAGAGACTTGCATTTTGGGAACAGTAGTATTCAATGGAAATCTACTGCTAGGGAGAATGCATTCCTGCCGAAGTCCCACTTGGCCTTTCTCTTAATGTTTAATCCCTATATAACCTTAACTTGCCTCTTAGAAACTAAACCTCAAAATAACATTCAACCTCAACCACTTGATTTTCTCCTGAAACATTCAGACCTTGAGCTCAGAAGTTTTACTGTCTAAAAATCAGCTTTTAGAAAGGCCATACATTGTGCAACATCATAGAATGCATTTCTGTTTAGCTCTTGTTATTAAATCTAAGCCTAGATTTCCTCACCTGGAAAATGGGAATACCACACAAGATCATCTTGAGGACTGAAGATAAACTACATAAAAGCGTCTAATGCTTTAGCTGGCACATAAAAGGCATTCAGGATGTAGTCGCTATACTGCTTGATAATATGTTTGAGCAATTCTCTTAAAAAAAAAAAAATCCCCCTTTTTACTTTGAAATCATTTTTCATTGACAGAAGAGATAAACAATAGTAGAGACTTGCCACTTAACATCTCATATAACTATAGAAAAACTACCAAGACTATAAAATTAACCTTAGTGCTAATTTGCTAATAACTAAAAAAATACTAATGCCACCTTAGTTTTCCCAGTAATGTCCTTTTTCTGTTCCAGGTTCCAAAAATCAGAATCCTACATTGCATCCAACTGTCCCATGCCCTTAGTTTTTCTGCCAATTTGCAACAGTTCCTCAGTCTCTCTCACAATCCATTTTTTTTGGAGTACTCATCAGTTACTATGTAGAATCGCTTTCAATTTGGGTTTGTCTGAGATGGTCAGTGCTCTGTGTTCAAAGACCCAGTATCCAGAGATTCAACCAACCCATATTCAATGGGTTGAAAATATCTGAACATAAAAATGTTCCCTCTATAATAACTAGAGTGACTCTTTAATTTACTTAACCTTTTAATGATATATGATTTATAAATCATAAAATTCACCCAATTTCAATTGTTTTAGTATATAGGTTACCCCTGAACATAGGTTTGAACTGCATGGGTCCACTTATATGTGGATTTTTAAAAATATACACTGCAGTACTACACAACTGGCCGTTGGCTGAATCCAAAGATATGGAAGGCCCAACTGTAAAGTCAGAGTCAAATTCTCAGCTACTCGTCAGTACCCCCAACCCTTGACCTTGCTCAAGGTCAGCTGCGTTCATGGTCTTCAACCATCATGACTCCTGGTTCCCATCCCACCCTGGGCACCATCATGAATCTACTTTCTCTCTCCCTCTAGATTTGTGTGTCCTGGACTTGTCAGGTAAATGGAAATGTTAATATGTGGTATTTTCTAAACAGCTGGACAAGGCCACTTGAATAAATATTTCAATCACAGAAATCCAAAGTTGCTCCCATCAGCACCCACAAGCCTATCTCATAAATACCTCCGCCGTGGTGGTGGTGTGGGAGACCTGCGTCGACGAGGCGGAGGAGCAGGAGAAGGAGAACGTCGCCTTCTGGCGGGCGGTGGGGAGGGACTTCTCCTCCGTCTACCACTAAACCAAAGAAGAATTATAGTTGATTCAGAGTCGGTAACATCTGTAACTAAGTGATCGAGATGATTTAGTTTCAGTCACTGTCAACCCAAAGGGCAGCAGCCATCACTTCATCCCTCACAGCAGTGTTTCTCAAACTACACTGCAGTCAGTCAAAACTCCATGAGAATAGGTTAAAAAAAAGAAAGAAAAGAGAAAAGCTAAGTGTTTATAACTATGGTAAATTTTGTTGTGTGAAACTTTTGTTGCAGTATATACATATGCAGTCTGGGTCACTCAGAACATTCTTAACATGACACAAAGTGAAAACACTTTGATAACACCACCTCAGGGAGTTGCTTTCTAACTGGACTGTACATTGGAAACAGCTGGGAAACTTATCTGAACTTTGTGTTCACCAGGTCTTGGCTATGGTCCAGCTGAAGTAGGTTAATAAAAAGGTTCTTCAAGTAATTTTTGATTCCTTGTTAGAACAACTGCTGTAAAGCCTAGAAACATGCAACGTGCTAATATAGACATTTAAAATTAAAGGCCCCAAAGCTGAGTGTCAGTGCTCCCAAGTTCTTGCTCTGTAAAAAAATACATTCCTATGGTTGAACAAGAGTTCAACTGCAAACAATTAATTAAAAACACTACTCCAAAGACAAAGAAACAAAGTTGCCTGAGCACTTAAGCCATGATGAGGAGCACTATGGTTAAAATATAGATAAGAATCCTAGACCTTAATTCTGAGCTCTGCTGCAAACCACAAAAGGCACACCTGTAAAATATGATTATCATCAACCGGACCAACTCATAGTAGTCTCCCAGTAGATCTACTAAAGTAAATATCAAGCCATTTTGACATCTATTGGCTAAGTCTGTGTACAAAAAGCAGTCAAATAATGTACAATTGATCCTTGAACAATGGGGAGCTTGGGTTACTGAATCTGTGCAGCTAAAAATCTGTAGGTAACTTTATAGTCAACCCTCTATATCCAGATTCTGCACTGGCAGACTCAATCAACTGAGGATCACTTATTACTACAGTATTTATTTATTTGAAAAAAGAATTTTTTGTGTAAGTGGACTCCCACAGTTCAAATGTATGTTGTTCAAGGGTCAACTGTAATTAGTTCCTAATTTCTTGCCCAGTAAAGGACTGAAGCTCCCTGTGAATCTGGAAATATTTTCTCAAGTTTACTTGGCTTGATGCCCCAATAAAACTAAGGAGAGTTCATTAACACAACAATGAACATTCTAACATCCACTAATAAATTTGATTTTTAAGTTAAACTTGCTTATGCTTTGTGGAGACTAAGATTTCACTTTAAGCAGATTTAAAATATAAACTAAAAAGAGGCAATAGGTCAAGACAGATATGTTTCAGATGACATGCAGACACCAAATTTTTAATTACAAGAAAGACAGTAAAGGAGAAGTCACTCTATTAGCAGGGTTAATCTGAGAATTACAGGACCTAGAGAAACAGGGTGGACTACTGTACTGCTTCAATAGGTAATGAAGATTTCAAATGGGTAAAGACATCTGGGTTTTGACTCAAAGAGAAAAACATTGACACTCACAAACCTGAGTGATGAGATGATACAAAGCAGAACTCCTAGTGTGTTATCAGCAGATGTAACAGTACTTTACTGTTGATTATATGGCTCCCCTTTTAAAATATTCTCATTAAAAAAAAAACTGAACTCAGATTAGAATCTATTACGATATACTAATGACCTGAGAGAGTCACCCTGTGCCTCAGTTTCAGTTGTAAAATGAAAGGCTTGGCATCACTAAAAGGTCCCTTTCAGTGATAACTTCCAATGACCTATGTTTCCATGTGAGAAAACTGAGAAGAGAATAAAACCATAACCTGTTAAATAAAATAACCAAACTAGCATTCTTAAGGAACTACAAGAAAAACTTGATAATCACTTATAACTGGAATCTTGACACTGAATAGATCTACAGCTTCTTTAAGCTGATTGATATGATATACATTTCAGGGGTTTAAAAAAGAAAAAAAGGCAAACATCTTCTAGTTACTCTGAACACTAATGACAACCCAAGCCTTCAACTCTGTGTAGACACTTGAGTAGAGAAGTCTCCCACCACCCCAAATTGTGTAAGAACCAGTTTCATTAAGCCTCAAACACAAAGCAGCCCTCAAGAATTAGGAATAGACAAGTCTCAGAATGAAGACAGCTTCCTATCCGTGCAGTGACCTCTTCAGAACTACATCCTTTCCTAGTCACACTGGTAATGAGTACAAGTTATACATGCAACAACCTTTCTACACTAAGTATGATTAATATTTGGGCTTCAAAGATGACACAGTGGTAAAGAATCTGCCTGCCAATGCAGGAGGTACAAGAGACATGGGTTTGATCCCTGGGTCTGGCAGTGTCCCTGGAGAAGGAAATGGCAGTCCACTCCAGTATTCTTGCTGGAGAATTCCACAGACAGAGGATGGGCTACAGTCCATGGGGTCACAAAGAGTCGGACACGACTGAGAACATGATTGATACATCTTTAACTATTAAGGAAGAAATGTTCAACAGCCAAAGACAAAATTTAGAAGCATCAAAAATACTGCTTTAAGCCGTACAGTCATTTTTTAACCTTTTAAATGTCTCTCCCAAGTTTCTCTTGCCTTCCCTATTATTATCACCAAGTCCCTCTCCACTAAATCTAAAGAGCTATTATTACTGTCCTACTTCTTGTCCTACCTCATTAATTTGTTGTGTAAGAAAATATAATTAAATCAAACCAAAACAACTGAGGAACTTCTCCACCATCATAACCTGTAAACCTGGGAACGGGATGTTACCTAAACAGTAAATTAAGTTACTAGAACTTTGACATGTAATCCTAATTTACAAAATAGCATCTAACCAACCTTTTAGTCATTGGCGATTGCCATCGCTTTCCCATCTGCATCCTGAGAGCAGTGGAAAAAAACAAGTGTCAAGAATTCCATTCACCAAATTAATGGAGATATACATATATATATATATATATATTTTAGATGTTCAAATACAGTCAGAAGTAATTTAACTGGTCTATTCAAGTCATGCACATGCACGACGACATGCTGGTACAAACTTACTAAATTCTCATTAAACAGTAATAATCACTGAACAAAAGAAAACCCAAATACCCCAAAATCTGACCATTTCCTACTATAAGCTCTAATGAAATGGAGTTAACCAAATTGTAAGTCCACAGCCCATCCCTTAAGTTATGAAGCTTTATCACAACTACAGATCAAGAGTGAAGACATTACCGAGGGGAAGCCTCTTTCTGGCGCTTTCGAGGTGATGGAGAGGCACTCCGGGAAGGGGAATGTCTCCGTCGCCTGCCTACCTCACCATTCTTCACATGGGACCTTTTGGGTCGTTCATCTTCTGAGGAAGAGGAGGAGCCAGAATCTATAATTATACAATAAGCAAAAATTCACATCAGATATATGCTTAACAGCCTGTACCCGTTTTGGACGCTAAGTAGAGGGAGTATCCAAATTAGCAAATCAAGTTCACGAACATAAGTGAGCACACATACAAACCATGAGTTCTGAAAAAAAAAAGACAATTACCAATGTGTGCTCAACGACTTCAAAGTCAAGCATACATAAATACAATTATATAATTATTTTATACAAGTCATTTCCATAGCACAAGCCGAGAAGACAGCACTCCTTAAGAATCTAGTGATTTTCCAAAAAGCCCAGTAAAAAAAGCATCTCGAGCAATTACTTAATTCTAGTTACTCTAAGCACTTTTAAGGCTACTGAAAGTCTCACTGGGGTTTGAATAATTTACTTCATATCCCTATTATTTATCAAATAAAATGTATCTGACATTTCCTATAAATACCAAAAAATATCCAAAACATAAATGCATTTTCAAACACTTCCATGATTAACCACATCTTAACGGAGTTGCAAAAGCTATATAGCTTTAACTGACTTAATGTCACTGTGGAATGCTTTGGTTTCCATTTTATAAGTGAAAAGGAAAGGCAGTGCCTAGACTCCATCACAAATACCAACTGAGCTAATAAAACCAGGATATCTGATTTTAAAATCAGTTTTCTGTATACACACTTTTTAATTCAGAAATTTCATTTTATAGATACACTCATATAAACACATACACAGAAAAAAAAACTAGAAATAACCTAAATGTCCAAATAGGCAAGTGGCTCGATAGTATGTTATCAATATTTTAAAAATGTTGCAGTCAGTAAATAAATGAGGTAGACCCTTAAGAACTAACAGGGGAAGATGTCTAGATATAGTAAGTTAAAAACGCAAGCACTATAATCTACAGCTTGAGCCTGTTAGGTGTTTTTGGTTTGTTTTTAAACTATAGATACTTAATACATGCGAAGAAAATTTATAAATAAAAGCTTTAGGGAGTTAAGACTTAGGGTTGAGGAAAGAAACATACTTTTCCAATTTTTATTCCTGTTTTAACTTCTGTACTCTGAAGATCTATTACTTTTACAATCTAAAAGAAAATTAAGTTTTAAGGAAGTACTTAATACCAAAGCTCCAAAACTAACAATCCCTCTTATTTCTATGAAGGCACAAAAATATTTCTCCTAAATACACTCACTACACTTGTGGATATTTTTATCTTAAATATTTTTATTAGGATATGCAGAGAGAAAAAACATGTAATCACTGTCCATACCAGATGAAGACTGCTGGTTCTGTCGTCTATATTGGCGTCTCTGCTGCACAGAATCTGCTGCAGCCATTTTGCCACCTTTATCTTCTTCTGAAAGAAGGATGCATTTAGAAAGTGTTTCTTTAGTTGTGCATACAGAAAATATAACACATTTGAGTTGGGAAATGTTCTCCTAAACTTTTATCTGTGATAGCTGGGTCAAGCACTATCTACTCTTCCCCCCCCCCCAATAAAGGAGGAGCTTAAAATGCCAATTTAAATGCTAATTTAGACTATCTTTACCAAATATAATGAAAAAATAAACTTATCTAGGCATTTTTGACAGTTCGGGCTGTGTGCCAAGCACTTATAAACATTATTTCAGTTAACCACCAAAGACTAAAGGATGGTACTATTATGCAATTCAGAGATGGAGAGAGATGGAGGGGAGGGGAGAAGAGGCTCAGATAACTTAAGTAATTAAAACAAAAAGCAGTGGAGCTGGGGATTCAAACAGGCCAGTCTGACTTCAAAGTCCTAGCTCTTAATCATTAAGCCATAGACTATAATTAATCTTTAACCAGAATTAAATTCAGCTTAAAAAACAAAACAAACACAAAACACTTACCCGATTCAGACAACTCTACTTTCCGAGGCTTCGGTGCTGGTGAAGGGGATTCTCTTTTCTCAGTACCTTTATGTTTTGTCACTAAAAATAAGTGGGGAGGGGAAAAAAAAAGCCCCACTTACATACATTAAAAAAAAAAAGGAACAAAAGGCTACACATCTTAATGATACAAAAAAAGTGTGACTCTTCTCATAATTTACTGACAATTAAAACGTTCTTTTAAAGATCCTGTTCATTACCTGAAGCAAAAGAAGTAATTCATAAACGTTTGGTGAAAAGCCTCAGAAAGTTCTACAATGATTTTAAAACTTTCAAACTTTCTCCCAAGAGAAACAGTTAAGAGAATAGCATTTCAGTTTAGTTCAGTAAATCTCTATGTGCTACCTTAAAATTTCAAGCACACACTCTTGACTATGTAAGAACTTTTAAGCACCACTACAGGTTGGTCCAGAAAAGTAATGAAGATGATAACTGATTAAGACTTAAGATCTGATAAAACTTTCACAGCGAAAAATATCTGATCTGGAAATCTGAGGAACAAATTGGTCATCTAAGAGACCAAAGGCTCTTGATGTAGAGAATAGCCTTCACAATAGCAGGAGAGACTTAAACTACCCATAAAAAGATTTTTTAAAAAGTAAGGCTTCCCTGGTGGCTCAGTGGTAAAGAATCGGCCTGCTAACGCAGGAGACAATCCCTGGTCTGGAAAGATCCCACGTGCCACAGAGCAACTAAGCCCGTGCACCACAACTACTGAGCCCTCACACAAGGTCTGAGGCCCACACGCCCGAGAGCCCAGTGCTCAGCAAGAGGAGGAGCCACTGCAAGGTGAACCCGGGCACAGCTGGAGTACAGCCCCAGCTCGCCACAACCAGAGCAAAAGCCCAAGCAGCAGTGAAGACCCAGCACAGCGAATAGATAAAATTACATATATATATATATATATATATATATATGTAGACCTTCACCGTGGTAAAAATAGTAAATGCTAAGACTAAAGGTTTCTTTCTAAAGCTTAATTTAAAAAAGCAACCTTAACCAAAGTCATGCAAATAATTCAAGTGAACTAGGATCTGAATCCAAGACACTATTTCTATGGCACAGGCATGAGCTTTAATTTCTAACAATTACTATTTCTGTTTATACTATCTGTCCCATTGCTTCAACTAAAATCAAATGTTTATACATAACCATTAATCTTACCCAAGATTAACCTGAAATATCACAGAACAGTCCTCTAAGAACTAAACTTGAAGACAAATGATCCCCTCAGGATCCTCACACTTATTTTTGTTTCACTAAGCAATTAATATGGAATGTTTAACCTAACATTTATATAATTTTGTTTAACAGACACACATATTCAAATTTCTCTAAAGATTTATTTTAAGAGGCAGTAACAGCAATCTAATCATCTTTGCTGAAGCATTCCAATCAAAGAATTTAACACTATACTTTTTATTAATTCTACCTAATAACAAGCCTTTTGGACAAATCACTGGAATGGCTAAAGAATCCAGTGATTAATCTAGTGATTATTGAATTAGTGATCAGTAGCAAGACTGCACTTAAAACTTGCATTTTAACAAAGTCAAAGGCACAAATAGAAAGGCTTTTAAAATTTTAAACATGCAAAGCTCTTTTCTGGATAGGTCCTCTTCATTTTTAAGTGTCAGTGAATCTTCAACTCTTAAAACAGTATTTTAGGGAATCTAGTTTATAAACCTGCACATCAAAGTACCACTTTAGAGAAATGGGTTCTGAAATGTGTATTTGGATGCCAGAATGCATTTTCCTCTAAGAAACATTAAAAATGTGGTTATGTTTGCTATATATTTGGCAAATGCCTGTTTAGTAAATAATGCAATTGAGCTATAACATTGTATCCCCGCCCCCTCCCCACAGAAGCCTGTATTTGGAGTTTTATCCTGATTTAATCTCTACAATGGCTTGGCTAAAATAGTCTTGAGTCATTATTGATATAATCAGTGTTAAACATACTCCCTGCTCTGGCTTAATAAGACTAACTGAATCATCGCATTATTAGTACTATGTTTCATTAGTGCTTGCTTGTCTAGGTAAGATTTTTCAACAATTCATTTTTATCGTAAAAAAAAAAAAAGAGAGCTTATTTTTATGTTGATGTTGTTTCATTCAAGGGAGAAAATCATTCTAGCATGAAATCTGAAATCTCCAAAGTCACTGAAAAATCAGTAATTTATTTCAGTAGTCCTATTAATCATTAATCTTGCAGACTTGCTTGAAAGATCAATCTGGTAAAGATATGTCACTCTATGACCAGAATTAGTAAAAGAATCATTAAGTATTTACAGAGCACAATTTATATTGCTGCATTGATCTCAATTTAAAATCATCACCACCACTACAGGTACAGATCTTCTGGAAATATATTTCATTAAATATTTCACTAATTTCAAAGCACTGTTTTATGTACTAAGATAATGGCAATTTAACTATAACATGACACTGATTACAAAATGCTTCCTTTCAGATGAGAATGTGTATTATATTCCAAACAGTTTACCTTTAATCCTCCAAAAGTTTTCCTTCTTTCCTCCCACTCCATCCGCCCACTATTAACAGTAGAACCTTAAGGCCCTGATTGATAACTACCACGTGAAATACAAAAGTAAAATATACCACTTTTCAATGGTATCACTACTCTTATTAGCAGTGGAGACAAGAAAGGAATTTCTGAAATCACACTATCAGCTACAGAAGCTGAAAAACTTGATTCTGCCTTCCATCTCTCTCCCCTAGCAATCAAAACAGGCATTTGGGGGTAGGAAAGCTGGGAGACATTTTTCAACTGAGAACCCAAATTCTAGTCCTGGCTGGTTGACCCTGACCAAAATCACTTAACCTGAGAACCTGTTTCTTGATGACAATCTCTGAAGTCTTTCCTAGCTCTGAAATTTCATCACAAAGAGTTGGGATCACTTTACTATAAAAAGCTATTTATCTCCAAGTAGTTAGAACCAATATTCAGCTTCAGTGGACAAAAGGCAGCCTCTCACTACACTGCCCACAGTTTTTCTTTGGTTGGATTTTGCCTCGACATGGAAGACCTGTCCCATAAGCTCCAGGAATATAAGTGGTCCTTTGTCTTCATTTCCCTTCACTGTGACTTGTTTTCAAAAAGCAGCAGCCCATTCTTTCTGACAACGTATCAAAACAAGAGGTGGTACATGTGCAGACCCTAACAAAGGTAATAAATAATGCTTAATCAACCTATTTAATAAGGATTCAGTCCTTCTGCTGAGGTACTTTTATTATGCTTTGGTGATACGATGTGAATAGAAAAATCATAATCTGATATATGTCTGCAAGGTAACATTCATAACATTTTTTTTATCAGACAAATTTCTAGCTCCAGAGAAAGGAAATAAGTATTCAGAAGTGCAAAAACTTCACCAGAAAAGAAAAATAAGTCAGGATCATAGGCATCAGAGCTGGACAAAGTGAGTCGAAACTCTTCAATAGAAAGTAATATGGGACACGATTATTATGAAAGTAAGTAATCATAAAACACCCAAACTTAAGTCTGAATCTCGAAGACCTACAAGTGTCTGTTTTTATCCAGCTGTCAGTCTGATGAGTCAATGCAACAAAAATGACTACATCATATTCATGTTATCAGCAAATTAACCTGTTGAAGTTCAGAAATAATCTATACATTACTCTCTACATACTACCATCATCTGACAGTACCCTCACCCCTCACTCTTATAGCGTGTCTACACCTCACACTAACAGACTTCAAAAAGCAAAATTTGTCTTTCTAGATATCATCATTGCAGAGTTGTGGGGCCAGGGGGTGATGGAGGGGTGGACACAAACCAAGCAGCAGGGTGCTGATCAGAAATGCTGCTCTCGTCAACCTCATAAAAACACAATAGTCAAGATTTTGCCTGAGATATCCCCATTTTTTTCATTTATAACCTGAAAACTTAAATGTGATCAGAGCAATCCCAGTATATATTAATCTACAGATTGCTCCTTAAAACCCAGTTACTGTAACAGTTCTTTTATGATCTCACCCTTCCCCCTCTACTCACCTATCAGGTTGTTTATTATTCCAGCCCTAAGTACCAGAGGTTCAACTCAAATGGATACCATAGTTTTTCTCCATTGTGTATTTAACGCTTAAGAAACAAATGCCAGCAGACCACAACCTTCACTCAAGACTTAACATTAGCATTCTACTTGTCTGGCAGGATCACAGATCATAAATTCCTCAGAAATCAATCTGCAGAACAAAGCAAGGACAACACTCAGAAGAACCTTGCCTAGAGCCTAAATTAAAAAAAACAAGCCAGCTTTTAGGAGGACACTATGTCCCTCCCTAGGGAGTACAATGTGGTCACAGAAAGAATTAAAACAGAATATTAAGTCCTCAAGTAAGACATCAAACAAAATATCTGCAGGGTATAAAAAAAGTTAACTGGTCTCAGTAATAAAATGATCCCTTTACCATGACAACACAAACTTCTGGTAAGTTACCCCAACTCTTAACAGCCCACGGCTGGTAATAGTACATTTTTTCCACCTACTCAACACCAGAGGGCAATGCTAAAAACAAAACCATTTTACATGTAAACTCCATTTCAGCAAACCCCCAAGAGCTTAAAGCAGGAAAGAAAAGGTGAGAGTCTAAGCAAATTTACAAAAAACATGACACAAATATTACCCAGCTACTTCATACTTTGAAGGGAGTAGGGAGAGCATGAAGAAGGACATACTGTTTTTATGTGATTTTTACCTTTACCTGAAGTTCTCCCTGGAGAGACAGAAACACGACTTTTCCTTGTACGGTTTGACTGCTGGGGTGTTGGGGAATGACGAGTTTTTGGTGGTGGAGTAGCTGGAGGTGATGGCCTGTGCCTTCGCCTCGGAGGACTTGCTGAAGGAGATAACCTACGAGTTTTTCGAGGAGGGCTGGATGTCCTCTTCGGAGGCTTCTTTGGCGGTGACCGGGAACGAGACGAAGATGATGATGAACTACTCCCAGACAAGGATGCCGATGAACGCCTTCTTCTGTGGAACAAAGTACTCGTGTTCATTAACTGCACGCTTAGAGAGAATGACCTTACAGGTATGTATGCACAGTTTACACAAAAATACAGCTATTTTTATCCAACTTTTGAGTTTATGTAGCTAAGCACATAAATGAGTTTGCTTTTTTAAAAAGGTGTGAAACAAAACCATAACCCAGGATAGGAAACAGCTAGTTCTGAGACTAACTAAATAACTTATTCTGATAAATGCTTCTGTTTGAGAGTTTTCTTCCCCATAGTTATAAAATGTCAAGTGCTATACAACTAACCGGTCTCTTCTCGCCTTAGGAATAATGAGTGTTTTGGAGTCTGCATACAAAATTGGGATGGCAAAGTATTTTTTCATTTAATAACACAATGTCAAGCAACCTTTTATGTTGCATTAAAAAAAAGCACAATATTAGGAATTCATTTAGCTACATAAACTTAGAAGCAGGGGACTCTCGAATTCTGCGGCAAAATCTGTGGTAAGTTCTGTTGCAATTATGTGTACCTGCAGAATTCACCTTTGGCGGAAGAATTCCTGAGAACCTGAAAAAAAGAAACCCTACCTTAAGTGTGAGACAAAAACTGGCTGAAAGGGAATCTTACACAATCTGCAAATTATCTTGACTGCTAAATGGCTTAGTAAGCAATTAAAACACACTGTTTTGCAAAACTCCAGTATGAGAAGTAGCTGTTTCCACTAATCTTATACTACAATGCACCAGCATTACTTTTCTCCCAAGGAGGAACAATAAATTTTAGAAAAGTGGCATGCCTAAATTGACTGACCATTTACATCTTTAGTCTCTTTACTAGTAACATCAATTCCATAATTTCTAGTAGTATTTATAAAAACTGATCCAACATATCTTGACAACTCCTCCCTGAGAAAAAAAATACTGTCTTTTTTGTTTGTTTCTGTTTTATTTTGGTCACATTGCAAGGGTTGTGGAATCTCAGTTCCTCAATTGGAGATTGAACCCGGGCCACATTTGCTAAAGTGCCTAATCCTAACCACTAGACCACCAGAGAATTCCTCCAAAATATCTTCTTTAAAAATATGGGATTCTGGAAAACTTTAGACTGCAGAAACAAAATTACAGAGCTTATTATCTCCAAGTTGATTTGGGCCTTGAAAAACCTTAAGAGACTCAAAACACAAAAAATTCTGTCCTAAATATAATCTGAAGCACAATCATCAGTTCCTCTAAAAACAGGTGAAATGCATCGTCAAGACGGCACAGGACTCTGCTACCAGAACACTATACCTCTACTCGAAGCAGGTGTGGCAATAATCTTTTTGTTAAAAAAGTGTTCGATCCTAACATTTACCTTAGGCTAACTGAAAAATTGTTTTGAAAAAAGAACACCAGTATTGTCTGACAAAGTGACTTTTATGCCAAGTCTCTTCAAAAATAGGACCAAACTGCCATTAATGGTTATATCTACGGAATGAGACTGTAATTTTTAAATCATTTCATTTCTACTTCAACTGTTTATCCTAAGTACTCATTATTTCTTTAATATGAAAGAAACATTAAGGTATAATGGATTATTTTAACACTCTAGCATTTTTGCCTGGGAAATCCCATGGCAGGCTACTGTCCACTGGGTTGCGAAAGAGTTGGACACGACTTAGTGACTGAACAGTAACAAAACCAGTTTATTGACTCTACAGTCATCTATATTCAGAAGCTAGTGGTAATTAAAAGCCAAAGGGAGAAGGTGGACAATTCCCTTACTTGGTAAGATTTCCTGGTAGGGTCCAAAATGGTAAAGATTAACACAAATACCCAACAGGATGGTGAATGTCTTGTTTTTTTAATCTTCCAACACTGGATAAGTGTTATCACTCAAAAATAACAGCATTACACCTCAAATGAGGTATCCCTTCATGAGACATTACCTATTATTACTCATGAGTTCTTTTTTTTTTCTTTCCTGAAGGAACACTAACTTGATTAGCCTGAAACAAACACAATGCACTTTTGTATACCTGACAGCTCCAAATTTAGAAAAACCGCCCCCCCCAAACCCCCAAACCCTCACCGTCTCACTGGAGATCTACTCCTTCTATGCCTTGGGGGAGGAGGCATTCGTCTTGGTGGGGTTCTTCTTCGAGGAGAGGGTCGTCTTCTTGGGCTTGGCCGCCTCCTAGGCGAGTATGATCTGCCACAACAGAGTTAGAATCTGAATAAACCACACGCAAGGAATGAATTCCTTAGTATAGTTTTCTCAACAGCTACATTTAAAAAATGGATTTCAAGGGACACAATTTTTTATTTGTGTGGAGATTTTTAACAGAACATAGACAGTGTTCTCAAATCATCTCTGGAAATCCAAAACATAAACCTGTGCTAAATTATTTTCTACTGCTTTGAAATAATTTACCTAATGCTACCTAGGAGAACAACACATAAAAATTCAAGATCTATTCAGATCTTAAAGCCACTACTCACCTTGATCGAGATCTATGGCGCCGCCTTGGTCTAGTATGAGAAGGAGAGCGAGAACGTGTCCGGGATCTTGACTTGGAACGTGTCCGAGATCTTGGTCGGGTCTTCTCCTTTTCCTTTTCCTTTTTGGAGTTTTTCTCTGGAGAAGGTTCTTTAGGTTCTAGTACTGGTTCAGTCTTGGGAACTTTCAGGATGTCACTGTGGGGTGGGGGTGGGGGATTGAAAAAAAAGCTTATTTTGTGCCTTTTCTACTCAGACTCCTAAGTCTTAATACAGGGATATGAAAAAGTTATTTCTCTCTTTAAAAAGTTTTCAAAATCTATAAAAACATCTAGAAAGATATATACATCACTGAAATCCAGAGAACAACTAACAATTTTAATCACATGTATTTTTTAAGACTGCAAAGTTGTCCATGATATGGGGGATGGGGGGAGCAAGTTACAGTATATAAAATGTCTGAAACAACACAACCAGCAGATAGCAGTGGTCACCTTTGGGTCATCTTACTTATACCTTACTATAAAATTTGAACTTTTCAACAATTTAACTTTATAATTTTTAAAACCTATAAGGAAAACAAGTTTACGTTTCTAACTCACAAGTATATTTATTGTGACTTAATAGCAGCCTAAAACTGTGATATTTAAAAATGAATTTTTATGTACTTGCCTAGTAGAAGTGGCCTCTTGTACTGAAGGTTCTTTTACTTTCACTGATGGCTCTGGGAGCTCTGGAGTTTTTTCCTTCTTCTCTGGAGCAGGGGAAGGACTCCGGCTTTTGGTTCTGTGACGGGGAGATCGAGAATGACTGCGCTTTCTCTCTCTCCTGACAGGGGAAGATCGTCTTCTAGGGGAAGGAGATCTGGATTTGCGCCTAGGATGAAAGCAATTTTTTTTTCAGGTTTTTTAAATAACGTGGACCAGAGAAAAGGTCAAAAGAAGTGAGGTTAACCTTTTTTTTTTTTTTGAGGTTAACCTTTTAAGCTACACCATTATTGTCTACACCTGTGCAGTTCCCTATAAATACAAGATACTCTCTCACATTTATTTAGTAGGAGAAGGGCCGAGAACACCAGAAAATCAAGCAAATGAAGGATAACAACATTGTCTACATGTCTCAGTCATGTCTGACTCTTTGTGCCTCTATGAACTGTAGCCCACCAGGCTCCTCTGTCCATGGGAGTTCTCCAGGCAAGAATACTGGAGTGGGCTACCATTTCCTTCTCCAGATCTTCTTGACCCAGGGATTAAATCTGGTCTCCTGCACTGCAGGCGGATTATTTACTCTCTGAGCCACCAGGGCGGTCTCGTACAGTTATAAGAGAGGAACATATTAACCTAGGACTCTAGATTTAGGTTCTTAATCATTCCGAGAGTTGGGAAGACCAAAGGACAACTTTTTACAGGAAGAGGATGTGTAAAAGGAATGAAATATGTAATAATGTGAAAGTCACTCAGTCGTGTCCAACCCTTTGCGACCCCATGGACTATACAGTTCATCGAATTCTCTAGGCCGGAATGCTGGAGTGGGTAGCCTATCCCTTCTCCAGGGGATCTTCCCGACCCAGGAATCGAACCAGGGTCTCTTGCATTGCAGGTGGATTCTTTACCAACTGAGCTATCAGGGATGCCCTGTATATAAATCAGATCTAAAAAAGCAGTTTAGATCCGGACAGATCCCATCAAAATTCATCATATACTCTTGGAATTGTACAAAAAATTATTAGGGCAACTAAAGCAATATGCTCTTCACAAGAGGACGAATATATCAAACTTGCCTAAGATATACTGCTTCCCTGGTAACAGCTTTTAATATCAAGTATATCAATAAAAGGGACAAAGAAATTATCTGCTCTTTACTAATTCCAGCTAGCTAATTTATGAAGATATTAGAATCCTAAAAATGGAAAGCCTAATGGAATTCTCACCACCACATATACACAAGTTGAATCATGGATTAAAAAATGGGAACCTAACCATAGTCTCAATGGAAAGAAAAAGAAAGCAAACATCTGTTTTGCGTTCAGTACAATCATCTAAGAAAAGTACAACATGAAGGGCTAGTGGGTATAGACTTCCAATTAAAAAAAATACTAAAGAAAAAAGGGTTGGAGTACATCAAAGTAACTCAAAATAATTTAAAGCAATATGAAAGACAAGCCGAAATTTTGATTTAGGAATTAAGGGACTGACTAATTTACCTAGATTTTAGAGATAATTATTATAGTCAAATGATGATCTCTTAAAAAAAGAAATATCCTAGTCTGGAGGCAAGCCATAGCTCACCATGAAAACTGTATGATGGAAAAATTTCCTAAATTGTATTGTTAGCTCCTTTTTAACTGTGTAACTTTCTGGGTCCATCTAGTCAAGGCTATGGTTTTTCCAGTGGTCATGTATGGATGTGAGAGTTGGACTGTGAAGAAAGCTGAACACTGAAAAATTGATGCTTTTGAACTGTGATGTTGGAGAAGACTCTTGAGAGTCCCTTGGACTGCAAGGAGATCCAACCAGTCCATCCTAAAGGAGATCAGTCCTGGGTGTTCACTGGAAGCACTGATGCTGAAACTCTAATACTTTGGCCACCTAGTGCGAAGAGTTGACTCGTTGGAAAAGACTCTGAGGCTGGGAGGGATTGGGGGCAGGAGGAGAAGGGGACGAAAGAGGATGAGATGGCTGGATGGCATAAACGATTCAATGGACATGAGTTTGAACAGACTCCGGGAGTTGGTGATGGACAGGGAGGCCTGGCCTGCTGTGATTTATGGGGTCGCAAAGAGTTGGACACGACTGACTGACTGAACTGAACTTTCTGGACACAATATTTTATTTTTTTTTGTTAAGAATTCAATTAAATATTTATTGAACAAATGCAGAATAAATGAACTAGGGGGTGGATTTAACCTGAAGATAAAATACACAACTTCAAATATTCAGAGGGCTTGGACACAATATTTTAATACCTAAGTTATTCATAAAACATTATGTATGCACCATATGTAAAATAGCTAGACAATGGGAATTTGCTGTATGATTCAGGGAACTCAAACCAGGGTTCTGTAACAACCTAGAGGGGTGGGAGGGAGGTTCAAGGAGGGGAGGACATATGTATACCTATGGCTTATTTATGTTGATGTATGGCAGAAACCAACACAATATTGTAAAGCAATTATCCTTCAACTAAAAATAAATTCACATAAAAAACCCAAAACATCAGGTATGCAGATTGTACCGTACCTTCTTGGGCTTCGAGACCGCTCCCTTTTTTCTCTGCTGCTTTCTTTTTCTTCTTTATCCCTCTTATCCTTGTCTTCATCTTGCTTTTTCATAGATGCCAACTTTTCTTGTTCAATCTGTAAAGATAAGGTTTTCAAAGTAAACAGCTGAACATTGAGATTAATGAGCAACCTGAAGACTGTACATCTGATAAAAACCAATGTTATATATAACTGTCTTTCACCACCCCAATTTTAGTTAACTGTCATTTCATCAGTCTCTGCTTCTCAACAAGACTGGTCTTTTTTCATCCATACTACAGACTGAATAACTGATGGCTCAGTGGGTAAACAATTGGCCTGTAATGCAGGAGATGCAGGTTTGATCCCTGGGTCAAGAATATCCCCTGGAGGAGGAAATGGCAACCCACTCCAGTATTCTTGTCTGGAAAATTCATGGACAACAGGAGCCCAGAGAGTTACAGTCCATGGGGTCACAAAGAGTTAGACACAACTGAGCACACGGCACTACAGACAAACTTTATGATGGGTACTGAATACTTGCTGAACTAAAGAGAATGGCTGTTGGCTGTTTTCAAGTTTACTAAGAAAAAAGAGATCATTTTCACATTTATATTATCCTTTTGTGATTTAAAATGTATTGTCCATATGAAGAGCTTGTGCTTACCTTTTA